AACGGAATATGGTTTGGCGAATAATCTAGTCTACAAGTTCATTTCTTTACAATTTCGTCTTTTTTCGTTTGATTTTGGCATTCTACGACATTGGCATGTTTTTTTTTGTAACTTACGGTATATTTTTGCTCATTTTGCAACTGTTTTGCACGATTTACAGTATGGTTGAAAACTTTTTTTTAAAACGGCCGAAAATTCATGCGCGCGTGGATGTCATCCATATAATCAAATCAACATGGCCTATGTAAGAACAAGACCTTCCCTTTTATTATTCGCCCGGCTATAAATTTCGGTCTCATGTGGAGTCACAAATGTCATGTAGTAGTCATCATGACAGACGATCAAAGTAACCTCACATCTTCCTCACTACTAATCAAGCCTCCGACAGAAGAAGTGATTCATATGTTTGTCGGTAATAATTGTACTCTTCTATTTGACAAGAGTGCGCCGGCCTAAGGTATACTGAGTGCGCCCCCCACCCACAACATTGCTAAATATCCATTTTAACTAGAGAGGCAATGGCATTGCGACCGTACAGCGACCGAATTTCCTTTCCTTTTTTTTTACCGTGCTTTATCCAGAACCATGCTAAGGCACGGTTTTGGATAGTCCACGCGTATTCACAATCAAGTTCTATTCCTGAATGGGTTAGGATCAGGATCAGGCACGGTTCTGTATATCCAATGACGTAGATTTGCCCCAGGCACGGTTCTTGATACATAAACTATTCAGAACCGTGCCTATCTGCCTGATATTGGTTCTGGATAAAGCACGGTTCTGGATACGCATGGACTATCCGGAATCGTGCCTGATCATGGTTCTGGATAAAGCACGGTTCTGGATACGCATGGGCTATCCAGAATCGTACCCTATCATGGTTCTGTACCCTATCATGGTTCTGGATAAAGCACGGTTCTGGATATGCATGGGCTATCCAGAATCGTACCTGATCATGGTTCTGGATAAAGCACGGTTCTGGATGTGCATGAACTATCAATATCCAGAATCGTTCCTAAGCATTTTTCTGGATAAAGCACGGTTCTGGATATGCATGGCCTATCGAGATCCAGAATCGTGCCTGACCATGGTTCTGGATAAAGCACGGTTCTGGATACGCATGGACTACCCAGAATCGTAATTGGTCATAGTTCTGGATAAAGCAGGGTTCTGGATATGCATGGACTATCCAGAATCGTGTCTGAGCATTGTTCTGGATAAAGCACGGTTCTGGATACGTATGGACTATCCAGAACCGAGCACAGTGTCACTGAACATTGTTCTGGATATAACTGCCGTCATACGGTCGCAGCGCGATCTGTGCCCTAGTGGAACGCGCGCCTAACATATGATTTGCTCTATTTGACATCCCCACATCCCCATTTATGCTTGGCAGCTGTACTACTTCCGCCCCCACCGCTGAGGCCACAGCAAGTAATTTTTATGGATGACATCAGGGCACGCATTAATTTTTACCTGATTTTGAAAAAAAAAACAAGAAATTTTGTTGCCTTCTGACAGTGGTCAACATGCCGAAAATGGGCAAAGTTGTCTGTTGCCCTACCGGAAGGAGAATGGCAGATAACTATGAAGAGAAGAGACAAGAAAAGGCTCTGATTTAATGTTTTGTTTCTTACTTTGATGCAGTGACATGTGATGTTGGCTGTGTATATGTGATGTTCCCAATGAATCAAAACCATTTGTACAATGATTGAGTCAACATTTTACATTGTAGGGACTTTGTTTTTTTCGGCTTGCCTTGCTTTTTTTTCGCCCGCTCGTATCAGATTTGGAGTCTGCCGTGGATGCCATCCATAAAATTTACATGCTGTGGCCTAAGTAGTTCCCCCGAACTCGGGAAGGATGATGGATATGTTCGCGGTGGAAGACTGTACTTTTCCCGCTGGCGGAGGGAGCAACAACCCCGGCTGACCGTGCACAACCTACCGCACGGGTAACTCATCATCTGCCGCTATAGACGTCACTGACGTCCGTTAGAGACTCCGCCGTACGTTTTCTCAATCTTTGAGATTTATTTTTGAGACTTCATCAGAATATCCATTAGTGTTGGGCCCCAGGGCACACCACTAGTCTTCCTGGCCTTTCGAAAATAACAACATAAAATGATATATTTGTACATTGCATTTATCCATCAACAACATTACCACAAAACTATTACCATTACACTAAAAGCAAACCCATTGCATTCACACAGTCAAGATCATGTCAATTCCATTGAGAGTCAGGAGTATCTTGTTGTGGTACCACTACCACCAAGAAGTAACTAGAAGCACGGTTCTGGATACGCATTGACCATCCAGAATCGATCGTACCTTATCATGGTTCTGGAGAAAGCACGGTTCTGGATACGCATGGACTATCCAGAATCGTGCCTGATCATGGTTCTGGATAAAGCACGGTTCTGGATACGCATGGACTATCCAGAATCGTACCTGATCATGGTTCTGGATAAAGCATGGTTCTGGATACGCGTACGCATTGACCATCCAGAATCGTACCTTATCATGGTTCTAGATAAAGCACGGTTCTGGATACGCATGTGCCATCCAGAATCGTACCTTATCATGGTTCTGGATAAAGCATGGTTCTGGATACGCATTGACCATCCAGAATCGTACCTGATCATGGTTCTGGATAAAGCACGGTTCTGGATGTGCATGGACTATCCAGAATCGTACCTGATCATGGTTCTGGATAAAGCACGGTTTTGGATGTGCATGAACTATCGATATCCAGAATCGTTCCTAAGCATGGCTCTGGATAAAGCACGGCTCTGGATGCGTATGGACTATCCAGAATCGTGCCTGAGCATTGTTCTGGATAAAGCACAGTTCTGGATACGTATGGACTATCCAGAAATGTGCCTGGGCATGGTTCTGGATAAAGCACCGTTCTGGATATGCATGGATTATCCAGAATCGTACCTTACCGTGGTTCTGGATAAAGCACGGTAAAGGATACGCGTGTACTATCCAGAATCGTGCCTGATCATGGTTTTAGATAAAGCACAGTTCTGGATACGCATTGACCATCCAGAATCGTACCTGATCATGGTTCTGGATAAAGCTCGGTTTTGGATGTTCATGAGCTGTCGATATCCAGAATCGTTCCTAAGCATGGTTCTGGATAAAGCACGGCTCTGATTGCGTATGGACTATCCAGAATCGTGCCTGAGCATTGTTCTGGATAAAGCACGGTTCTGGATACGTATGGACTATCCAAAACCGAGCACAACCTACGATATGGAAAAAAACAGCCGTTTTCCGTCAGCGACATCCCGATTTTACCTCGAAGATATCAGTTATGCTGTTGGCGAGGTTGATTCAACTTATAGCTTACTACACATTAAAGAATAAAAGACTAGAAAATTGACTTGGAAAACATCCAACTTTACTGCTCTGAAATCGCGTTGGGCATCCAATGCGATTTCAGGGCAGCAAAATTGAAAATATTCTGAATAAGGCAATCTTTGTGATATTGACACATACTGCTTCACATTAGCACATTTGAGTCAGTATTTCATAATTTGGGCTTTTCAAACTGCAGAAACAAGTCCCAAGATGAGTCTTTTATTTTCTGGGTGGTACCCTAAAAATCAACCAAGGGCCATATATATATGGCGGGGTACAAAAACGCCAGATATTGTTATGGATGATTGTGAGACGACCTCGGAGCGTTTTTAAGCTAAGTGCCCCAGCAGGAAGGCAGTGTAATGAGAGTAGGTGGACCTAAGAACCTTCCCCAAGGTTATCGCAAGAAGTGATGTCACGTCTCAGCGGGATTCGGAGTCTTAAAGCTGTCAGGAGATATAGATAGAGCATGGTGGGAAATGGTAATGCCTTAAAGGCATCCAGTGCAGCAGTTTTTAGGGCTTGTAAACCAGATTTTTTTCAAAGCCAATATTCTAACCATTTATATACATATTAAGTTGAAACCACACTATCTCAGTGTATATAGATCCTCATGGAGCAAAAATTCCCAAAATTCTGACGGAAAATGGTTACTGGAAGTGCAGGCTTAGTATTCTTCTCACATCTCCGTTTTTTTTTATTCCAACATGTTATCACCAGACATGGTGACGGCACACTCAAATACATGACAGGACAATACTCATTTTCACCTGAGCGAAGTGAGGAAAGTCGTGTAAAGTGCCTTTGCCAAGCTAGGGCACGAGATCGGTGGCATGGCAGGACTCGAACCCGGGATTTCTAGGTTCCGAGTCGCGCACTCTGCCGCTACGCCACACGACCCCACGGCCACATCTCCGTTAAGTTGGTGGGAACTTCTATGATTTTACCCTGACGGTAATTATTACGTACTCAGCCTGCAACAGCTTTACACTTCTATACACCACAGGTGAAATCAAGATCTATCAAACAATGCTAAGATGGAAAGTGTCTAGACTGGAGGGCGCGCAACGAAGCCACGAAAGGCCTTCCCATAAACCAACGACTTAGAAATGTTACAGAATTGTATGCTTCCAACATCTAACACAAGACACAGTGACGGCACGGTCATGTTTTTTTGTCAACGCAGAGGACAATAGACAATACTCATGGTAGCCTGGGTTTGGGAGGCGGACTGTAGCGGACATTAGGGCTTCTCCCCATAAAAAAATCTATCGTTTTAGAAGACGTTTGTTTTTTTGAAGAAAAAAAAGTGACCTGTGTGAGAGGATTTCTTAGCCATTTTTGAACCAATTGCGTGTCTCTCATTTAGATTTATTGATTCATTTCAATTTCTTTATGGAAATGCTCACCTACATCGTAACTCATGTGTTTACTGTGTACAAATAGGTAAATATATCAAAACATGTTTAGACCTTGGAACAAGTAGTATTAGTTGACTCATTTATAGTTTTGTACGTAGTTTAATTTCGTTGCACCCATATATTTGTCTGTATATCTACATGCAGCAGTTTTAGACCTTACGAAAGTCGCTGTACTTTTTGTTGTGTCAATAAAGTTCTATGTGTGTTACAGATCGCCATTGAAGCCAGTCGCATGGGTCAACAAAGCTGCGATCACAACACAACCTGCTTTTTGATGACTTGAAAAACAACAAGAACATCTCTGACCTCACGATGTTGTGGATTAAAAAGCGATACAAGGAGGCCTATCTCTACCTCGGGGTTCTGCTGATTCTATTTCTCGTGACGTGTTTTCTTATCCACCCGGACACCATGCAAATACTCTCAAAGTCGCGCTCGTCTCGACTGGACTACGGCGCAAACTCACAGAGAGCTCCACACAACCAGTGGAGACCCGTACGCATGTTGAGAGACATTCGCAGCACCACGGCGCGACCGCTCACCGACACCGACAAGCTTCACAGGATCGCCGACCTGCTCGGCTACGACCTGACGGGGAACAAGAAGAGGGACGACCTGGAGTCGAGAAAGATGATCAACGATATCCTAAACTTGATCGACGATCACCAAAGACAGGGGAAAGACGCGAGGGACACTGTGGACATGATCTACTCAGTGGTGAGAAGTGCACAGGAGGAGAAAAACGGAGACGCCCTGGGAGAAGTCATGAACGACATGAATGTCTTAGAAAACCTCCTGCCCAAGAGACTGGAAAAAGTGAAGATAGGAACTTATCCATTCACCAGAGACGCCAGGCGTTTGCCCTCGGTAAGTGGAACGTTGTATTGAGATTGAATAGAATAGAAAAGAATAGAATAGAATAGAATAGAATAGAATGGAATGGAATGGAATGGAATGGAATGGAATGGAGAGGAGAGGAGTGGAGTGGAGTGGAGTGGAGCGGAGCAGGGCAGGGCAGGGCAGGGCAGGGCAGGGTAGAGTAGAGTAGAGTAGAGTAGAGCAGAGCAGAGCAGAGCAGAGCAGAGCAGAATAGAATAGAATAGAATAGAATAGAATAGAGAAGAAAACTAATTGGTACAACGTTTTATGTTGTTGTTGTTGTTTTGCTACTTTTATCCAACACACAATCGCGAATTTCCGACCGTACAAATCGTCCTTCATCATGAACTTTGACCCACTGACCTGACGCACAATGATCGTCGGGATGTGTGACGTCACGGGTGGGTCAAAGGTGCCAGGAAGTCGATACCTACCACCGGCCCGGTTCAACGTGGGTTGACGGGTCCTTCTTTTTCCTCTTTTTTACTTAAGTGGTCGCCACGTAACACACCTGAATGGTATGACCACTCACCTTCAAGACTCCTATTTTATCTAAGAAAGTACCGTTGGCCAGAACCCTTGGCCTGCCCCCTATATCTTCACAAGTCACCTTGACACTCGCCAAGTCACCTTGACACCTCCAACTTCCTGGTAACAAACTGTTGACGTGGCCAGAAGCATCCCCTTGCTTAATTGATTACCGCAACATCCTCTGAAGACCTCATCCTTGACACACCTGTCCTGTTTGGTCATGTGCTCCATTAGTTGAGCGCCATTAGTCCAGCCGGCGGTGTTTGTAGGATTCTAAGCCGGCCATCACAGTAATCCTTCTCCGTCTCGTCCTCCAACCTTACAGACATCGGCAAAGCTCGCGCATACATCAAAACCTAAGCGGTAAAAATCCACCCCTCCAGTGTGTCTTGTATCATTTTGAATTCAGATTTAGTACTTGGCGTATTCTCCCCCAGGGCCCGTCAATCACTCCGGTAAGTGCAACTCATTCCGGAGTTTTCCGTTCTGGAGCTTTGACCTGCCGGAAGGTCCTGAGCACAGGAGAACCATGAACGCAACGCCTTCCTAAAATAGACTTGCTAAGGCCACAGCAAGTAAAATTTATGGATGGCATCCTCCGCAGATTCCAAAAAGACAAAGACAAATTTGAAAGGGTACAGAATCAAGCTGCAAGATTCTGTGTGAACAACTATTAAATAGGTTCTAGTGTCACCGGAATGAAAAGAAACCTACATTTGGTCTCACTGGAAGACAGAAGAAAAATGTCCAGACTATGCATGATGTACAAAATGACTAATAAACTGGTGGACGTCCCAACTACTAAGTACCTAATACCGGTCCAGAAGAGAACAAGAAATAGCTGGGTCTTCAAATATCAGACTTATCAACCAAGAATTGAGGTGTTCAAAAACTCGTATTTCCCAACAACTATCGTAGATTGCAACTCGTTGCCACCAAGCATAGTTGGGGCATCATCACTAGAAAGCTTTAAACAAAATGTGCAAAGATTGAGTGTAACAAGTCGTTCGGTGTGATATAGCTAGCTGCCGCCGCGAAGCTAGTGTGTTACACCGAAGGGCGGTTATACCGGCTATACTGATACAGATACAGAAATCTAATGCGAGCGGGCGAAAAAAAAACAAGGCGGCCGAAAAAACAAGGTCCCTACAATTTAACTCAATCATTGTACAAATGGTTTTGATTCAGTGGGAACATCACATATACACAGCCAGCATCACATATCACTGCATCAAAGTAAGGAACAAAACATTAAATCAGAGCCTTTTCTTGTCTCCTCTCTTCATAGTTATCTGCCATCCACCTTCCGGCATGGCAACAGATATCTTTGCCCATTTTCGGCATGTAGACCACTGTCAGAAGGCCACAAAATTTCTTATGAAAAATTTAAACTGTTCTCCAACTCATAAATTTCACTCACCGGAATTTTCGACTGAATCACTCAGTCTTCCTCAGCTATCTGAACAAAATGCTGTGGACACGTGATTTTTCCCACGTGTGACGTCAGCAAAGGGTCAAAGGTTGTCTGAAGTCGATATCGCCCCCCGTCCCGGTTTAAATTTTTTATAATGTAATTTACCAACTCAGATGAACTTTCATGCTGAAACAAAATTTCTTGCTGTTTTTTTTTTCAAAATCAGGCGAAAATGAATTTGCGCGTTGATGTCATCCATAAAAATTATTTGCTGTGGCCTAATGGAGTTTTTCCCGGCTTTTCTGTGAACTTCATTTTCTTCCAGGGAATCCCATTACAAATACTGTCCCCGCAAGGAAACGGTTCGGCTTTGTCGCGGATATAAAAGGCGCTTCGCCACACGAGCGTTTCCAACCCGGGGGACTTCTCAGCTCTATTCCAATTCTAGTCAGAACGATACAGGAAAAGGTTTTGCTTCAAGCAACCTGCGTAACTGCCGCCATTAGATTTCCCCGAAGCTACTTACAGAAATTGGGAACAACGTAGTGTAATTTAAACCTCTCAAAACTACGAAGCCGTTAATTATTAGAGTAAATGCTAGTACATGTACTATATTTTCTAGGTGCTACAGAAATTAGGCATGTACTCGCACTATATTTTCTAGGTGCTACAAAAATTAGGCATGTACTCGTACTATATTTTCTAGGTGCTACAGAAATTAGGCATGTACTCGTACTATATTTTCTAGGTGCTACAGAAATTAGGCATGTACTCGCACTATGTTTTCTTGGTGCTACAGAAATTAGGCATGTACTGGTACTATATTTTCTATGTGCTACAGAAATTAGACATGTACTCGTACTATATTTTCTAGGTGCTACAGAAATTGGGAACACCAAAATGTAATTTAAATCTCTCAAAACTACGTAGCCGTTAATTATTAGAGTAAATGCTAGTACATGTACTATATTTTCTAAGTGCTACAGAAATTGGGCATGTACTCGTACTATATTTTCTAGCTGTTACAAAAATTGGGAACACCATAGTTTAATTCAAACCTCTCAAAACTACTTACTAGTAGTCCTTAATTATTATAGTAAATGCTAGTACATGTACTATATTTTCTAGGTGCTACAGAAATTAGGCATGTACTCGTACTATATTTTCTAGGTACTACAGAAATTGGGAACACCAAAGTGTAATTTAAACGTCTAAAAACTACGAAGTCCTTAATTATTAGAGCAAATGCTAGTACATGTACTATATTTTCTAGGTGCTACAGAAATTAGGCATGTACTCGTACTATATTTTCTAGGAGCTACAGAAATTGGGAACACCAAAGTGTAGTTTAAACCTCTCAAAACTACGTAGTCCTTAATTATTAGAGTAAATGCTAGTACATGTACTATATTTTCTAGGTGCTACAGAAATTAGGCATGTACTCGTACTATATTTTCTAGGTGCTACAGAAATTGGAAACACCATAGTGTAATTCAAACCTCTCAAAACTACGAAGTCCTTAATGTATTACAGTAAATGACAACATTACATTTTCTCGGAGTTACAAAAAATTGGGTACACCATAGTGTAATTTAAACCTCTTAAAACTACGAAATCGTTAATTTTTACAGTAAATGCTGGTATTATATTTTCTAGGTGCTACGGAGTATTGAAAACACCATAGTGTAGTTTAAGCCTCTCAAAACTAGGCTCAGAGATATCAATATTACTATCATTTAATTGGGAAGTCTGGATATAATGATTACAAATGGCATATCATTGTAAAATGAGACAAACTGGTGGTATTAGTGATGGAGTCATATACTAGTAATCAGAGAAATGGCAATCCAATGTCTATGATATAGTTTTTTATTTCATGTAATCACAGGCAGTGTTTATATATGTCATTTGACATTTCCGGTAGACCAATCTTGCTATTTCTTGTTTTGATGTCTTAATACTTATTCTCGACTAAAATGAAGATTTTATTTTTTATAGAAGCTCATCCTACACTTGCAATGAACCTCCATTTTAATAGTAAAAAGTTGAACTTTATTCCAACACACAGTTTACAGAGAGAACAAATCTTCAGCGACCACTGTCACCTTCATCAGGATAATTAATGACCAATCACTTCACAACGTGATCTCGCGAGAATTACGGTTTACAAACACGTGACCTTATTCACACGAGACTTTACTGATACGTGACGTAAGCAATTAATCAAAAGTACCAGGGAGTTTATATCGTCCACCGTCTCTATTAAGTGAAGGCTGAAGTGCTCTGATATATATGGCCTCCTTAATGACATTAATTATCCTGATGAAGGCGACAGTGGTCGCTGATCTCTCTGTAAACTGTGTGTTGGAATAAACTTTAACGTTTTACTATGATTACTACCAACACAGATGAACTTTCATGAGAACCTCCATTTTTAAATGTCTCCTGAAGGAATGTCCGACCGGGTTCCACAACAGAGCCGAGCAAGCTGATTGGTTCAGGGAGAGGTACGTTGATGACGTCAAGATGTTGATGGATTTGAGTGACGTCGAACCGAGGAACTTCTTGGACCTACAGTTCTACTCACTACCGTTCGGGTACAAAAGAGAGAATAAAACACGTGAGTATATGTAGAATAGGCACTTTGTTTGAAGAAAAATAAACTGTTCTCCAACTCAAAAATAAATTAACTCACCAGAAATTTTCAACTGAATCGCTGTCACCGTGACGGGGGGCGGTACCGACTTCCGACGAACTTTGACCCAGTGCTGACGTCACACGTGGCTAAAAGTCACGTGTCCACAGTACTTGGGTCATAAAGCTGATAAAGACTAAACGATTCAGTCGAAAATTTCTGGTGAGTTTAATAATTTCTTTTTGAGTTGGAGAACAGTTTATTTTTCTTAATGAACACAACTGCATGCATAGGCACTTTGATGTTGTTTCTATTGTTGTTTTTGTTGTTGTTACTACTGGGCACGGAAGTATTGCTTCGGGTGGCTGAGTTTCGGATTTGTGTCTCTGTCCTAGTTATACTTCGGTTGCAAGGTGGGGAGATGATTTTTGACAGTTGATTGCTAGGGAGGTCGACGCGCCTGAAGGTGACCCAGCAGCATGGATCGAGTTGGAGTAAGGGGGCGGTATGTGGAGGAATTCAGGAAGTTGTGTAATACCCGATCAAATTACATCGTTGAATCCCTTCCACAGTTCCAACACTTCCCCAAAACCCAAAAACAGACCTAGAACATGAACGTCACGAAAAAACAAAATATTTTTTGTTTCAAGTAATTGTTTTGCTTGCTTCTTACTAAAATTATATGTTCGGGTGTTCTTTGAAGTAATATTATGTCTTTTGATATAGTCGTTGACAGCATATTCCATAATATGGACCACATTGGCGTCTACCGCGGAGTGAGAAAGCAGTGCCTGAGGTGTGCTGTGGTCGGATGCGGAGGGATATTAAAGGGTTCCCGAAGAGGTGGTGAGATCAACGCGCATGACTTAGTATTTAGGTAAGAAAAACATAATTTTCAGAGAGTTTTGTATAATCTAGCCATATTCATAAAATTTACAATAGGTTATCTCAATTACATCAAGGTTGAAATATTTAAACGGACTTAAGATCCTGTACCTGACTTGAAGCAAGAGTACCGACTTGCATATAGACGTCTTTTTCTAACTTTAGAAACAGTTATGAAAAATAAAGACCACGTTGCAGCTTTTGAGGGTGTCTCGTAGCCTCCACCAGGCTTTGGGAGACGGCTGGAAAGGGTGGGGCAAAATGCTATCTCTTTTTTGGCCAATTTCTAGGCTTTCCATCCGTCTTCCGAAGCCTGGTAGAGGCTAGGTGTCTCGCACGGTAGTAGTCTTTTACTATGAAAAGGATGGCTTCACCGATAGGACACAACAAGTAATTTTTATGGATGACATCAGCGCGCGCATTAATTTTCGCCTGATTTCGGAGAGAGAAAAACAAGAAATTTTGTTGCCTTCTGACAGTAGTCAACATGCCGAAAATGGGCAAAGATTTCTGTTGTCATGCCGGAAGGTGGATGGCAGATAACTATGGAGAAACACAAGAAAAGGCTCTGATTTAATGTTTTGTTTCTTACTTTGATGCAGTGATATGTGATGCTGGCTGTGTATATGTGATGTTCCCACTGAATCAAAACCATTTGTACAATGATTGAGTCAAAATTCTAAAATGTAGAAACCTTGTTTTTTTCGGCCCGTCTTGTTTTTTTTTTCGCCCGCTCGCATTAGATTTGGAATCTGCGAAGGATGTCATCCATAAAATTTACTTGCTGTAGCCTTATTTGATTCAATGGAGTCTGGCGTGTACACGCTTGACGTAACGACACAATAGCTATCCCGACTGTTTCCCCATTCAGTACGCTTTCTGTATTGATTCCCAATGCTACCCTCTACTGCTATGTAATTCAATTACATGTGCATGGTATAGCTCCTGAATAATCTGATTACGTGTGATAACCTTTCAATAGTGTGTAAATCTAAGCTGAAAAGAGATCAATTCGCGTAGTTTCCAAATCAAAAGAAGAATTTACCAATCATAACAACGAATCTAAGGTAAATTGTGACTCAGGAAAAGGTGAATGGACAGATTTGATTATAGAATAACTTTATTGCACGACAATTGCACATGGTACAATGTACGGCAACAATTATTGAACTAAGTACCAAAAAAAAGGATAGAATAATATAGGGTTAATGTCCCGCCCCGAGGTGTATATTGTGAGATAATCCCTAGTCAGGTGCGATAACCACCGAATAAACCACCAAGTGAGTGTAGCGAACGAGGTGGTTTATGAGGTGGTTATCGCACCTGACCAGGGATTATATCACCATATACACCGATGATAAGGCGGGACATTAACGTTATTATCATATAGCCTATCCAACTAACACAGTTATTTGACACAAATTCTTTATAAAATTCCTCCCTTGCCAAAAAAGTCTCACATTTTATTTTACGTGAAACAAGATGGCATGGGCAGAAAACAGATCATCACATCTAGGCAATCATTTGCGGTGACCACGTGACATTGGAACAGTACCACTTGTAGTGAGGGTGTCTTTTCTCTCTTTTTCTAAACCCTCAGAGTAAACCATGCCAGGATCGACCAGCAGTACGCAGAGGACGTTGGGAACAAGACCGACTTCTACGTCTTCTTCCCAGAGTCCGAAGACGTGCGGCGAGTGGCTCACCAGGTGAGGTATCTAGTCTCTATCAGACTAACTACGCTGGCTATATTATCTTGAAAGTTCATCTGTGTTGGTAGAAGTCATTATGCAGCAAGATTAAACTGTAATTTCCAACACAAGAAATTGGAAATTTTTGACTGTACAACTCCAGTCTTTGTCAAGGAATGAACAATCCACCGCTTCCGTGACGTCACGCAGATAACACACGTGACTCCGTGAGCAGTGGGTCATAGGTTGCAGAAAGTCAGTGGCGCCCCCTGTCTTCTTTGCACGAGGGATTAAAGAGGCCATCTACATCAGGGCATTACAACCATCCCTCAACAGAGACGGGGGGCGCCACAGACTTTCTGCAACCTATGATAAACTGCTCACGGAGTCACGTGTGTTATGCCCACGATCACCATACTGATCATTCTGGCATGCCAATTCTTGGCAAGACTCCGGATTGTAGAATTTGTACCATCGCACACCGGGGCATGCCCCTACTCTTTTTCGAAAGGTGTGGTGGGTTCTTTAACGTGCGTGGGGTGTGGCTGTCCCCAAACACGGGACCTCCATTTCACGTCCTATCCGAGGGACGTCCCTAACCGAAGCAAGGTAGTCATTTACACCTGAGTGAAGTGAGGAAAGTCGTGTAAAGTGCCTTTCCCAAGGGCACAAGATCGGTGACATGGGACATTGGGGATCGAACCCGGGACCTCTAGGTCCTGAGCCGAAAGCGCTACCGCTACGCCACACGACCCCACAGCCTTGTAGGTTTGACAGGGAAAGAAACTACCTTCCCGCGGCCGGACTCCCTTGGCCAATTTTACTCTCTTTTTTTTGCCGAATTCTACGATCCGTATTCCCGTAGAAAGGCCAAGGCACAAGATCGGTGGCATGTCAGGACTCGAACCCGGTACCTCTTGGTCAAGCACTACGATCCTACGATCCGTATTCCCGTAGAAAGGCCTGGTGGAGGCTATGAGGTATCACCTCTCACGGACCATTGGCCGTGTTTCCCATTTCCGTCTGACAATCCCAAACGACATATTGCGTCCCTATAACCCCTCCCTGGGTCGTAACTCGTCCATCTACAACAATAGCATGCTTGATATGAATTGCCGAGATACATAAAGGTACTTCCGCAGTATTAGTATTCCGGGGTAACGTATTAAGTAGCATTACCCGATTTGATCATCTTCCTTTTCTGTAATTGCCTTTGGACACTGACTAATGTGAGATGCGGTAGAGATAGCCTTTATATCACACGCTCACGGTGCAATCGTGAGGCCTGGGAAAAATTGTGTGTTTCCGGGTTCCGAACCTAGCAATAACCTGCCAACCATGGCCTTTTTTGATCAACCGCAGAATTTCAAACCCGGCAGTTTGGTTTGTTCGAATGACATTAACTGTGAAATTATGTTAGCCGCGCAAAACTACATCAGAGATACAAATGCTTCTAGTTGTATGTGTCCTGCTATGCTTTCCTACTCTTCTCTTCTGGGATGGAAAGTTTGACTCATGCTATCCATAGTTTTTCAAATGTCTTGTAAACGCTTTTTTTCCATTGTAAAAGTGGCTGCGAGAATATAAGTTGTACCTAACTTGAGTTCGCAGTCACTTAGTCCATGTCCTTTTATTTGTATTCATCACTGCGCTTCTGAATAAAAAAAATCCTCTGAATTTCTGAAACGTCATTTAACGCATTTTCTGAAGCATTTTCTTCGGATGAAATCAAATATCTGTCCACAAGCAAACTGGTGGACGGGTCCTAGAGACAGTCCCTACTTTAGGGGTCTCTTTATTTTTTGTGCCACTTAGAAATACCTAGAACCAGCCTATGGTATACCAACAAGAAACCGTTTTCCGTCTGACCAGATTTAGACCACGCCTACATTTCTATACCAATCTAATCGAATTTGAGTTTTCATTTGAGTCAAATATGAGCCCGGAGCACGCACCGATCATTGCTGCCCTATACTCCCGATCACCAGCCAACCATGGCCCGACACCTCCCGACCTACTCCTAACCATGGTTGGATGGAGTTCGGCAGTGTTTGGGGGTTCATATTTGGCTATGTGTGACAGGTGCTTAAAAACACGTGATGTTTGTTTGTTTATAATTGTTTGTTTGTTTGTTTGTGTTTCCACCCAGGACCCCATTTATTTGTACGTGCCATTCAAGACGTACGACCTGCAGTACATCGAAGGGAAAATCGTCCGAGATGTCATCCCGAAAATGTGTTCTAACAAGACAGGAAAGTGCTGGTACGTCATCTCATATATATACGGATACGGAACACAACACGGTGTATTCCGTATCACCCGAGGTTCCAACCCGACCGAGGATCGGATCGCCCGAGGGCCGGAGGTAGAGCCAACCCGTGGAAGGGTCTGGGACCGAGGGTGATGCGGAATACACCGTGTTGTATTTTGTTTATGTCATACTCACCCGAGAGTATGACATAAAGAAAATGCTAAATGTTGCAAAATTTGGTGACCACTTCAAGGTTGGCTGAAGTTCGGGAGATGACTAGATTTAGACCACACATGTAGACTATCTTCCTGTACGAATCAGATGGAATATGGGTTGAATTTGAGTCAAATTTCACTGCCAACCACGCACCGACCTCCTCCCGAACGTCAGCCAACCACCAGCCCACCATGTCCGAAGATCCCGACAGCATTCGAATGTTTTATACATATTGAAACATTCGTCTGGCGCAGCCGAACAGTAGCCGAACACCAGCCGACCTTGCTCCCGACCTACTCCTAACCATAGTTGTGGGGAGTTCGGCTAGTGTTCGGGAGGCCATATTCGGCTCTGTGTGACAGAGGCTTTACAAAACTCATCCTGGTTAGGTACCAGGTTACTCTCCAAGCAGAGATTTGGGTGTTGGGTTATTTTTTACGTGTTTTTAGGCTTTTATCGGGGTTTCTTTTTTTGCACTGGATATTTTCACCTAACCCTAAAAAATCCAGTGCAAAAAAGAAACCCGACAAAAAGCCTAAAAACACGCCAAAATAACTCAAAACTCTGCTTGGAGAGTAGTACCAGGTTCCCTCTGTACCCAACAAGGGAAGTCTCACTCGGTATCAATACTATTTTCCTTTCATGATTTACCACCATACTCCCCCCGAAATTGCTATAAAACGATATTAATTTAGAAGCCCAAAAATGATATTGCCCGCGCTCCTTGCCAAGGTTGAAATTATGGGAGTGGAACCGTATGCTATATCGTCTCCCGAATAATCCCTAACCCATTGTGCCGCGATGGAAAATGATCTCTCGCTGCGCTGGCGAGGAAATTGAAAATCTTTCCGCCCATTAAGCACCGCCCACATCTGTCCGCTGTCTGGCCCGGGGAGACCCTCGTCAAATCGATGTTCGGTACAGAAACTTTGGTTATTGTATTCATGACAGATTCGGGCTTGCTGCTTGACTCGGTGCCTGTGTTTTAGAGGTCTATTACCGAGTAACTCCGCCTTGGAAGCGTAGAACATGATCTATCTCTATGCACGGGCACGCGTGCTGGTTCCAAATGCCAAGGGCGTATAGCTAGTCAGTAGGGTGGGTATTCCGTTTGATTCAGTGGAGCTAGCCCCATCACATACATGCATGTCGTGTGATCGTAGTACGATCGCAGAAAAAGGAGGGCATATTCATTCTTTTGATGGTTGTGTATTTGTCGCACAAAATTAGCGTAAAACATTATCTATCTCTGGAAATGCCAAGGGCGTATAGCTAGTCAGATGGGTGGGTATTCTCTTGATTCAGTGGAGCCCCGTCACATACATGCATGCCGTGCGGTCGTAGTACGATCGCAAAAGAAAGATGGTTGTGTATTTGTCGCACAAAATAAGCATAAACATGATCTATCTCTATGCACGGGCACGCGTGCTGGTTCCAAATGCCAAGGGCGTATAGCTAGTCAGATGGGTGGATATTCCGTTTGATTCAGTGCAGCCCGGTCACATAATACATGTATGTCATACGAACGTCGTAAGATTGCAAAAAAAGAGGACATTCTTTGGATGGTTGTGTATTTGTCGCACAAAATTTGTCGTGTTACAGAAAAGGCTGTGTTAGATTCATGTTTGGTTCTATCACAACCTGCTTGAAAATCCTGCGGTATCAAAATCGTATGACGGGCTACGACATATATGTAGGTTGACAGTACGTGGGTGGGGGGTTGACAGGCAGAGTGACAGCACTCAGTTGGTGTAAGGCGTCCCACGGTGCCAATTTACTGATTTTTCAGGTCCTTTCGGAAAAATGCCATAACTCAGCCGTAGCTGGTCAGAAATGGTTCAAACTTGGGGGAAAGGCAAAATACAACTTGTTGAGTGTTGAAATATTACTTTCATGTTGTTATATTTCTCATATTTGCATATTTCTATGTCTGATATGATGCATAATTCTTCAACAAAAAACGTAAATCGAGGAACTATAGCCAACATCATAGACAGACGCTTTTTGGAGGGTACATTCTTACATCTGTCACCATTTAGAAACTGTTTTGGTATATTTGAAATATTATTCCTGATTTTTATGAAATATGTTTTTGTCCATTTCAATGCCATAATTTTAGGGCAACCCTAACTTCCTTGCCCTATATCAAAAGACAGTTCATGATAAGCAAAAGGATCTAAACAGGTTTGGGTAGTTCAGGACATTACAAATCATTATACTTTGAATCTGACATTCCCTGGGCATGGCTATAGTTCCTCAAAACGCTTCAAAGTTAAGATTATAAATCTTTACCTTCTTAGCAAATTCTAGCTGTCAATCACGTCGGTAGGCCAATTAGTCGTGTATTTAGCACCTCTATGAGACGTAATTATCTGTAATTTGCCCTTGCCACAAGACAAAAGGTTGGCTGTCTTTTGTTATGCGCAGTAATTGTTCACTACAGCTCGGCCCAGCTTTCCTTTTTTTCAATATAGGTCTTGAAAGAAAATGTTTTACAGACAGTAACAAATTGACAACAATTGAATGAAAGGTTTATACGGCTCATAGCCTGGGTGCCAGACTGTTACCAGGGCTGCTATGTAGGCTACCTTCTCAATCCAGGGGACAGCATTTCCCTTCCGAAAGTTTTTTCACAGGGTCTAACCAAGGAGGTTAAATATAACCTCCTTGGTCTAACCAAACTCCATGGTCTCTTGGTATATCATATCTCCTTTGTCTAACCGAGTCTATTAACTGGGTCTAGCATGTGTATTGAGGCTGGGAACTGTCTGGCATATATAGTCTGAACGGTCGGGTCAATACTGGGTGAATTTGCAGAGATTAGCTTTACCGGAAATAGTTGGGGCTAACCTTTTCCAAGATGTTCCAAATAATTTCTAATAACGTACTGTCCACACCCTAATGTTTTAGATACTAAACTGGCACAGCCAAACACTATAGCCGACCTTGCTCCCGACTCTTAACCAAGGAGGTTATATCACCATCATGATGGTTGGGTGAGCTCGGGAGGCCATGTTTATCTGTTAGTGAATCACTAGGGAATCCCTGTGGCCCACTCTCCTTGTCAGTTATCCCCATTTTTTTATGGGTTCTAATATTTGTGGCCCTAAATCCTAAAGGGGCCCTTTGTAGGTCATGCTGGAGGTAACTTACATATATCTTCAGGTTGTTTGGGGGCCAGATTCAGATCAGAATAAATGTGGTGTAACTTACAGCAAGAGCTTCAAATAGAACTTGTTGATCATTGCTTACAGTTGTTTTGTCTGTGTTACTAGTATTTATGCAAGCCTGACATCCGTTCTGCTCTTGATCAGCCAATTGAAAACAAAAGAGAGGGGTACCAATTAACTCCACAGGATGGAATTAGCGCGCAAATCAAATGCAAAACGGCAGGCGGGGCAGAGGCACTGGGTTATCACTCAAACTGTTGCATATGTACAAGCTTCAAGACTGCATTTGGCTCATTACAATATTCAAGTAGGTCATTATAATATTAAATGAGGTTTTTGCTGTGGTCAACCGTGGGACGCCTTACACCAACTGAGCAGGTCAAAAGGTTAGACTTAGGAAGTGAGAGGAATCTACGTTGGTAGAACATAGGATATAGGGACTTTCTTCTTACATAACCGGTAGTGTTTCTCTCACCTGCTTACGTTTCGATGCCTGTCAGACATTTTTCGCAGAGCTTATGACTGGAGTACTGCTTCTCGCCGCTATATGTAGGTGGCGTATTTGTGGAGAGAACACAATCCCAAACGTGGCTTGTATCCCCCCTCCTCCCAGGATCTCCCAGTTGTACAATAACATATAGCAGAGAAGCAGTACTTTGGTCAGAAACTCGGAGGAAGATGTCTGACAGGCATCGAAACGTACAGAGAAACATTAGGTGTAAGAAGAGAATTCCTATATCCTGTCTTGTTCTAATGTCTTTCCTTCTTATTCCTCCCAATTGAAGGAAACTGCGGAACCCACCGAACGTGACGTCGCACAACCTGCGGATCGTGCACCCGGACTTCATGCGCTACGTCTTCGTCAACTTTCTAAACGGGACGGCGTACCGCCCGACCACCGGCGCGCTCACGGTCTTCCTCGCCGTGCACATGTGCGACGAGGTCGACCTGTACGGCTTCGGCTTCGACAGGAGGTTCTCTCTGCACTACTACGACGACAAGTTCAAAAACTTCACGGAGTGGAGAACCGGCGCGCACGACATCGACAACGAGAGATATCTCTGGCAGAGACTGGACGAACAGAGGATCATAACATGGTTCAAAAGATAGCAGCGCTGGTTTTGGAACATCCTAGGCTCCAAGCAGATGCTGGGTTGGACGATTCGGGCTTCTCTGACAACTATGTCATCATTAGCCTGGTGTCCAGTCTTACGTGGTAGGGGCGGGTTTTAAATTTTCTCGGGGCTGCAGGAGCTCTTCCCCGCCCGCCTCAGCTAGGTTTTCCGGTGGGTATTTCACGAGAGATTGATTAGCCCTACCACGAAGTGTTGGGGCGAACCAAATCCCCAAGCATACCATCTGTTATTAGCGTAAAACTCCTACCGGGACGGCCTGTTTCACTGGGCGGAGGAAGGTATTAGAGCCGCCGAAGGCACAGCCTGCCTGAACACCCCCAACACCCCCAATCACGTAAGACTGGATACCAGGCTATGTCATCATGAAACGGCCACCTTAAAGCTGCATTATGTGACAATAGGACAATACAAAAAGTCAACTTTCTGGTAATTTCTTTACAAAGTTGGATCAAACCTCATTGCAAATAAGTTTTATTCAGAAAGTGGAGGTGCCAAAATATGTGTTTAAAAGCTGGATACACAGCTGTCAGCCATGTTTACATTCTGGTAGTTTGCAGTGGCACCACAAATTGGGTATGCCTCATGTGGGCTGTTTTAGCGCCAATCATAAATGTCAGAAATGTGAGATGATAGTACAAATATGTTGAAAAGTGGAAGTAGATTACCATCATATAAATATTTGTTTAAAAATTTTCTATTTTTGTTGCAAAAATGTTACATAATGTCCCTTTAAGTGGAACACATGCCTATGCACAATATGTTCCGCACTATTTTACAGTTATAGACGTCTCTTATCATAGCTCATGTTCAGTTCGACTATAACTATAACTTAAGCAGATATGAAGAAAGTTGGATGGTTGCTCGTCAGAGAAGCCCAGCTGTCAGAAAACGTCTTCAACCTAACATCTGCTTGAGCGTCCATCTTGGAGGAAGTTCCTGAACATGACATCTTCTCATGAATATTAACAGCTCCGTAATATAGACACATGCCATTGGACAGTTTAAATCTCATTAAATATGACATTATCAGTGTACAGTCAAACTTGCATAAGACGACCACCCAGGGATCTGGTCTTCTTAGACAGGTGGTCTTCTTGGAGCATGGGGACAAAACTGTGAAAAAATCCCACCCGTTTTTACAATAGACTACCCCATTGACCCGAAGTGACCCAGTCGGCGCCATTTTACATTGCACACAGAATGCCCTTCTGTTACTAGTTTAGAGAACACGAGACTAGGTCGAGACTGAAGCTTTCTGGCCACTTCAGGAGAACTTCTGGCCTGCCCCACCAACTTGCTAAGCACTGGGGTAAGTAGGACTGTTAAAATTAGTGACAAACTGGCATATTCCATCCAAATTTCTCGGTAGTTATCATGAAAACCGTTTACACAAGCATGCAAATCATAGGCCATGTGCGGTCCCAAATGGAGCCGGTCGCGGTCGCGTTGTACAAGTGGTCGGCTTAGGCAAGTCCCTTACGTCTATGGAAAAAAATATCGGAACCGAGAAAAATCGGTCGCCATTAGACAGTCTTATAGAGGTGGTCGCTTGGGCAAGTTTGACTGTACGTACAATTTGTAGAGGATGCCTTTGATAAACTTTAGTTATAATTGACGACTTCGACGTGTTAAAAATACAACAACTTCTCAACAAAAATTGAACCACCAATCAGTGAAAAGACTTAACTCTTGCACATGGAAGAATAACACTTATATCGTATTGCTAGTCTAATATTCGCCGAACTTCTCTGAAATATTGTATTGTTTATGTTTATATTTACATAGTTTATATAAAAGGTCCAGGATACTTCTCCAGTTTACGAAACAGATACTCAGTGAATGTTTTTAATTATGCAATAAAAATACGTTTTTGTGAATTTGTAAGAAGACATTAGCAGAAATTAGCATAATAATATCGTTGGTATTAGGTAAATATGGGAAGGAACAATGGTTGATCATGTTATAGTTTTATACGCTTACAGAGATGTTTTTATCGCAATAACTTTGTTCTCAAACGCACATTTAGTGAAATTTTTAACCCTTGTCCTGCTGGCATTCCTGACACAATATTTTTCAATAATTTCATGTCTTAATTAGATCATAGACCCCCAATTTGTTTGTACTGCAGTGGCATAGTTACTTTCGCTGAGGTGTGATGCGTTGCACGAGAAATACCCCCAAATCGTACCTATCCAGAGTGCTATATAGATGGTACTGTATGTGCAGAACGACAATTGTTGTGCTCCGCAGGACAAGGGTTTTAAGGAAATATGAGCCAACCTTGAACGTATTCTACGTTTATTTTATGAAAAGGTGCACCGCATTTCTACTTCTCAAATAATGTCGTTGCAATTTCACCGCCATGTTCTCCGAAACAAAATAGAATAAAATCTTTACGCCAAAGCGTTTCATACGTGCTTCGACTTCAACATATATAAGGCCACAGCAAGTAAATTTTATGGATGACATCCTCCGCAGACTCCAAATCTATTGCGAGCGGGCGAAAAAAAAAACAAGGTGGGCCGAAAAAATCAAGGTTCCTACAGTTTAAAATTTCGACTCAATCATTGTACAAATGGTTTTGATTCAATGGAAACATCACATATACACAGCCAACATCACATATCACTGCATCAAAGTAAGAAACAAAACATTAAATCAGAGACTTTTCTTGTCTCCTCTCTTCATAGTTATCTGCCACCCACCTTCCGGCATGGCAACAGACATCTTTGCCCATTTTCGGCATATTGACCACGACAAAATTTCTTCTTCTTTTTTTCAAAATCAGGCGAAAATTCATGCGAGCGCTGATGTCATCCATAAAAGTTATTTGCTGTGGCCTAAGTGGATGTATGTGAAAGGGATGAAAATGCTATGGTGTTATGTAAAAAGGTGGGTGGTATGATGGTATCACACACGGTACGAAGACCTTTATAGACATCCAATGCAATTTCAGGACATCAAAGAAAAAAAATATTCTGGATGAGAAAATCTCTCTGATATTGACGTTTACTGCCATTTCTTAGCACACGTCTGTCATATTTTGACCGATTTCATATTCATTCAAAATAGCCCAATAACAGACTACAATCCACCACAATCCACCACAACAGAACACAATCCACCACAACCAACCAAAACCGACCACAACCCACCATAACCGGTTAACCAACCAAAACCGGCCACAACCCACCATAACCAACCAAAACCGGCCACAACCCACCATAACCAACCAAAACCGGCCACAACCGACCACAACCCTGGCAGCCATTTTGGATCGGTATTGATGGGTCTGACCAGAACCGGGCGCAATAGTTTAATTTCTAAACCGTTTCTTCTCAAATCTCCGATATACGGCGATATCATTGCGAGGAAAAACATACGTACGTTCATTGTACCATGTATGTGTGACCTGAGTTTTACCTCAAATACATGAACAACATGAACCTGATCAATGACAGATGCCTACACAATCATACATCTGTTTGCTGCCAGTAACGTATGGCACATCCCTGCTACAGTTAATAGTACAGTAAATAAGGTCTGGATAGTGCATGAATCACGTACCGTCTGTCTGGCTAGTGCTAGCCTCCATAGCATGCCAAAAACTAGGGGTTTGGGGGTCTTCAGGGTCTTTGAGAGCTTTTATGTGCTATTTTCTGATTGCACATAGACAACATAGCCGAATTACCACCGTTTTTAGAATTAGGCTAATCAGAAAACAGCAGAAGACCACCAAACCTCCAGTTCTATAAGACTGCTACGGACTAACCTGGTGCATGGGAACTCCGGCACTGCCTACTCCGGACCAGGTAATTTCACGGGGATGTGCGCGCAGCTGATGGTATGGCCATCAACCTCAAAACGCCACTTCTTTTTGTGCTTTATGTCACGAATCGACTGTCTTTATAATTACCTCCATGAAAAAAATGGAGGTATTGTTTTTTGGCATGTCTGTGTGTTTGTGTACGTCTAAACTACCTACATGCCAAAAATCATGAAAGCTCGTCGTTTCTTTCTTGATTTATCCGCTTTGAAATATTTCACTGGAAACTCCCTTGTAGTTCCAGAACAAGCTGATAGGGGGACCAAGTCCATCAGCTATCAGCCAACAAAAAATCAAGACCGTAGCATGTCCATAACAAAAGATACAAAAAAACGAAAGTTCTGCTGCAGTACCAAGGTCAGCCATCAGGAGGCCCAGATTTGACCTTGACCTTTGCCTTCCAAAGACCTATATACCAACGTACCAAATATCATCACAATCCATAAAGGCCTTCTTAAGTTATGCTGACCACAAGTATGCGGAAACACACACAAACACACACACACACACAGACATGCCAAAAACAATACCTACATTTTCATGTAGGTAATAATTAGATAGCGCCCCTCTATCTCATTTTTTATCAAGAGGAACTGAAAAGAAGTGTGCGTAAAGAAATGCGTATATGTAGCTTCACAATGTCATAATTCATTATCACAGCAAACAAAACATATTATTCTGTTATATATGGCTGATTTATGATCTGAATTTCCCGATAAATCTAATCACACAAATGGATTCAACGTACCGACTAGAATGTTATTAGAAGGATTGTTACCGTACCAGTATTCAGGAAAGTATCCCTTAGTGAGGGTATATCACTTTATCCATCTCTCAAAAGACACTGTCCAATTTCCTGATAGCAAAATGGCGAATGTAAAAGATAAAAGAATGGCATTACACTGTGTGTGTCCCTTCATAGGTAAGTTGATTGTAAGGCCACGTTGATTTGATTATATGGATGACATCCTCTGGAAACCTCAAAAACTGATGCGAGTTTGCGAATAAGAAACGTTTGGCAAAAAAAGTTGTCTTTATTGTGAAATCTACATGTTCAGGAAGGTTGAACAAATGACCTAACACACAGTATGGTATGGCGAATAATGGATTTTTCATTTTAATTTCTTCTCATTTTTCCCTTTGTAATTGATTTTGGCATTTTACGACTTAAGTATCGTTTTCTAATTTTTTTTTTGGCAATTTAAACATATATTTGCAGCTGCTTTGTACGATTTACAGTATGGTGGAAAACTTTTTTTATTCATGTATCAAAACAACATACATACGATGCAATGAACCATCCCTTACACAATAATTCAAATCATGACAAATCGCT